AAGTAACCCCACCCTCCCCCTCAGAAATCGTGGGGGGTAGGGGTAGGGTTCGCATGTGGCCCACCACTAGTTACCATCGGGGTTCTATGATATTGATCGAGCCTTAGTAGGATTCAACTCTAGACTGGAGCTGGATCCAGGGATTCTATCAGACTTAGATCGAGCACGACTAGGCTGCAATCGAAGTTGGATCCGGCAATGGCAGGATTCCATCAGAGCTGGGTCGGGCCCTCGTAGGATTTGTCAGTTAGAGCTGGATCCAGCTGTAGCAGGGTTCGATTCGAGCTGGATCGGGCCCGACCAGGATGCGATGAAAGTCAAGTCCAGCTACAATAGGATTCTATCAGAGCTCGATCGAGCACTAGTTGCGCTCTGGTAAGGGGAGGGCCCCCCCTCCGAATTCGACCCCCCCCCTTCGACAGGGGGGTGGGGGGGGCGGGGAGGGCCGGTTTTGATAGGCTGGTGTCGGGAGGCGGGTCGGTTCTCCGGGCGCTTCACACTTTTTTTTTGTGTGTGTGTGTATGTGTGGGGGGGGGGGGGGGAGGCGCAGTTCCGACGAGTCTCAGTTGCGAAGGCCTTACGGCCGGTGCCGCCGACCTTGAATGGCGACGACGACGACGACGACGACGACGACGACGACGACGACGACGACGACGACGACGACGACGAGCGCTCTCGGGGGCCTCTTGGGGGTAGTTTTGGGACCTCTTGGGAGGCTCCTGGGGACCGCGTGGGAGCCTCGTGGGGGCCTCTCGGGGCTTCCTGGGGGTCTCTTGGGGGCCTCTTGAGGCCTCTTGCGGGGCTTCTTAAGGGCATGTGGGGGCCTTCTGGGAGCTTCACAGGCCGAGAGCTCGAACTGATCGTTCCCGTCCCCCGTCTGGGCTCCCTCTTGGAGTCGTCTTGGGGTTCTCTTCGTCTGTCTTGGAGACCTCTTGGGCGGTCTCGGGGCCCTCTTGAGTCGTTTGGGCGCCCTCTTGGGGGCCTCTTGGGCCATCTTGCGGCGGTCTTTGGGGCCTCTTGACCTGTCTTGGAGCGTCGGGAAGCTGACAAGGCGAGAATGCCGAAATCTTTCAAAAACCTAGGGGGAATCGATGATTATTCCCCTTGGGGCCCTCTTTGGAAGTCCTCTTAGAGGCCTCTTGGGGCGTTTTGGAAACCTTTTGAGCCGTCTGGAGCTACTTTGGCGACTTGGACCGATCGATACTTCGGCGATTCGGGGCCCTCGAGGACCGTGTCGGGGGCATCTTGGGGCACTTCTGCCGCGTCTTGGGGCTTTTCTGGGCCCCCGAACCGCCCGGGGGAGTCGTATCTGGGTGGCGACCCCCCTAGGACCCCCTCCCAGCGGGGAAGGGATCAAAGGGAAGGGGCTTCCCTTCGACTCAGCTACAACGTTGCTCCATTTCGCTGAGGCTGGCGCGCTCGAGGAGGAGGGCCCAGAGAAAGTGGTGGGAGCGGCGACGGGCCTATAGGGAAAGGGGAGGTGAGCAGCGAAGGCGACGCCGACGACGACGACGACAACGACCACGACGATGACGACGGCGAGTCAAACGGAACAGCCTCTTCCACACGCCGGCAGGGTCGGCGAATGCAACGAACGAACCCTGCGCGATAATATAGTCAGTCATCCAGTGACCAGGTCCGTGGGCCCTGTGGCGGCTTCATGTGTTCAAAGCTCCTTTACCACTGGCGCCCCAATTTCGCCCCGCTGTGTCCGGGAGTAAGTTCTGGTTATCGTGGTGTTGTTCCAGGCCCGCCAGGGGACCCCAGACGGCCTCATAGGCCCCCGCGACGGCCCAAGAGGGGCTCCAGACTGCTTCCACGGGTCCTGGTGAGCCTTCATGTCGAGTTGGCCCCCAAGTCTCCCAGGATTGCCTGGATAGTCCCCCAAGGGGTATCCAAGAGAGATCACCACAGAGGCTTGAACAGGCTTCCTTCGAAGAGCCCCCCCCTTCGAGGTTTCACAGAGGCCCCAAAGCATCCCACTGCGTCTGAACTGCGTTTGTCCAGATTCGCTTCCTCATGCGCCCTTCTCGCCTGTCCCGTCGTGCCTCCGATCGAAGGAGCGTGTCTCGGGACTTCGCAAAGGGAGGGGGTGCCACAGGGGGGGGGGCAGTTCGGTCCGTTGGCGCATCGAACCACAGAACAACTATGCAAAACGAGGTCTCCGGCCGAGAGGCGTCGACAATCGGGGCGCGCGGGGGCGCATCGTTTTTCGGAAATTCGATGCACCAGCAGATCGAACTCCCCCCCCCCCCCTTTGGTGGGCCCCGAGCGTCTGGCGACGTGCAAAGAGGCCGAGGCGAAGGCGGAGGTGGCGGAGGGGGGGGGGCACGACCAGTCGCGCGCGTCACCGGTCGTGCCTCGCGGCCAGAGCAAGGGGAGGAAACATATGGGGAAGGGCGACGATGATGGTGGTGATGGCGATGCTGGCGAGGACGGAAGTGAGGAGGAGGAGGAGGAGGAGGAGGAGGAGGAGGAGGAGGAGGAGAGGGCAGCAAGGTAGGAGAGAAGAACGAGGACGAGGAGGTGGAGGGAGCGGGGTGGCACGACGACGACGAGGAGGAACAGGAGGAGTACGGGGCGGGAGGGGAAGCAAGCGGAGGAGAAGAAAGAGGAGGAGGAGGAGGAGGATTATGCGGCTCGGGAGGAGCAGACGGAGGATCGAGGGTAAAGGAAAGGAGGCAGAGCAGGAGTAGGAGGGAAGGGCGATGGGAGGAGATGATAATAAGATGGTAGCGGTGTCGGTGATGTTGGTGATGATGATGATGATGATGATGATGATGATGATGATGATGATGATGATGATGATAATGATGATGACGATGATGGTTGTGAATGGTGATGATGGTGATGATAATGATGAAGATGATGATGATGATGATGGTGATGATGATGATGATAATGATGATGATGATGGTGGTGATGGTGATGGTGGTGATGATGATGGTATTGGTTATAGTGATGATGATGTTGGTGATGGTGATGGTCATGATTGTAATGATGGTGATCGTGATGGGGATGGTGGTGGTGATGATGATGATGATGATGGTGAAGACGATGCTGATGCTGATGATCACGATGATGATGACGACTACAGTGATGATGTTGGCGATAACGTTTGTATTGATGATAGTAAGAATGTTTATGATAATGGTGCTGAGGTTGATGATGATGGTGATGATGATGACGATGATGATGATGATTATAATGCCGAAGATGTTGCAGATGGTGATTATGATGCTGATGATGAATCTGATGATGATGATGATTGCGATGGTGATGGTGGTGATGATGATAATGATGATGATGAAGATGACGATATGACGATTGTATGATGAGTGTGACGGTGATGATGATGGTGATGGTGACGATTATGGTTATGATGAGAAAGAGGATGAAGATGAAGATGGTGATGATGACGATGGTACGTATGATGCTGATGTTGATGATGGTGATGGTTACGATGACAATGACGGTTGATGATGACGATGCTGATGATGTTGATGATGATGATGGTTGCAATGAGGATGAGGATGAGGATGATGATGATGTTGAGGATGAGGATTATGATGATGATGATGATGATGATGCTGATGATGATGATGATGATGATGATGATGATGATGATGATGATGATGATCGTGATGATGATGAAAAGTTGGCGATGAGGAGCGACCATTCCACTCGTTCATGTATCCCCTACCCCCAGCCGTGCCTGGACGCGCAATGGCCTTCGTAGGTTGCCCACGAGGGGCCCCGTGTCTTTGGTGGTTTCTAACGCCGTTCGATCGCGCGAGCGGCTTTCAAGATAACGTCAAGCATGCGCCCAAGAGGCCCGACATGGCCGGAGAAGGCCAGGGATGGCCCCAACAAGACATGGTCCCAGAGTGCCTTGCGAGACCAACACCATTGAACGAACAAAACGTGGTTGTTCAGTGATCTATATTCTATCCGAGTTCATGGGAGGGCAGCATCACATCAAGGATTCTTGCACCCATCGCAGCGAGGAGCGAGGAGGCGGCAGAGAGGGCGACGAGAAGGAACACAAACCGTACCGATCCCCATCGCTTATTCAACCCCCGGCCTCCTCTTCCTCCTCACCATCCTCACGATTCTCTCAATGCCCGTCCAAAGTATCCCCACAGCTGCCTTAGAACGGCCCCGCGGGGACCCGGGCACCCATCCCTTTTCAGTGCCCGAGGACATACCGCGTGACGGTTGCTCCAGGACCCCGTCGGGATACCAGCGGTTCCAAGATCCCCACAAAGGGTATCCCAAGAGGGCCTCGGGAAACATTGAGTGAGCGTTATCTTATTCGGCGTTCCGAAATTGGGCGGAAGGGGGGGAGGGGGGGGGTCTGGCTCTGGACCTCTGCTTACTGCGACTGTTTGCAGCAGCGCGTGCCATGGGGGAGGGACTCCACCTGCTCGAACCAGGCGCCAAAAACAGCCAAGGCCTATCCCAAGGGGGCGGGGAGGGGATTCGAGGGCTGGCGCCGATCAGCAAAATAGTGAATAAAAAACGACCATTAATTAATGAGTAGGTACCCGGTACCCGGCCAGGTACCCGAGAGGCGACGCGACATGCCGCCATTGCTGTCGTCCCGCGTTCTCCGTCGACGGCAGGCGGATGAGAAGGAGCAGGGTGATGGCAACGGGGCAAAAGTGTGAAACAGGATGAGAGGGGGATGAAAGGGTGAGTAGGGCGAGAAGGAGAGGGGTAGGGGTAAACCCGGCCTCTTCTCTCCTCCTCCGAGGTCTTTATTGGTCCATGGTCCTCCCGCTCTTCCTCGAGGTCGGGTTCCCAGGGCCGTAGTCTGAGTGCCCGCACGGCCCTCGTGGGCTGCTGTGGCGCGCTCCGCGCTCGTGGCGCACGTGAGACGCTGCTCGGAGCGAGAAACGCAGAAACGCAGAGGGGTAGGGCAAGGAGGGGGGTCAGGAGGGGGTGCGGAGGAGAAGCGGGATGAAGAGGGGGTGATCAAGGAAAAAAGTGGGATCAGGCGTCGGATGAAGCTGATGATGCGGCGAGTGCTTCCGACCATAACCTCAGCCCGGGCGAGCGCGCGCGCGTGGTTCTGGGCAGAAGGATGGAAAGGGGTACAGAGAACGCGTTGTTTCACTACCGGATTCCGGTTTGTGGCTCGACCGCAGCATGTTGCTGAGTGCATAGGGCTTTCATGGCCACTGATGCGGGCACTGCCCAGGCATTTTCCAAATCTTTGCATTCCATCGTTGTAGATATACTGGCGATCGGAAGAGAGAGTTGGTTGTGTCGTCCTGTGTCTCCTGAGCGCTGCCCCTTCTGCTCCTCCTCCCCTCGGCGGCGCAGACAAGGGAGCAGCGCGATCGGGGCGACCTCCGAACAGAGACCTTACCTCACAATCGCTGGATCCCTTCCTGGAGACCACGCGGCTTTTTCGAAGGCCGCCTCCCTCAGCCCACCCCATTTTTGCGCGCCGCCAGCATGTTACATCGACAAAATGTTGAACCACCTGGTGCCCGCGAAATCCGACGTCGTTGTGCAATCGACGTTTCGTGCTCGCTCCCCCCCCTCTCCCCAACCTGATATTGACTACGGGCCGGGATGGCCGAAACAGCTGGGTGGTGCAGCAGTTCGTCGGGCGCTTGGGAAATCGGGAGGAGCTCATTCTCGCATGCCTTCAGTATTAGATGGAGCGAGGGAGGGGGAGCAGTGTTGAAGCATGCCTGCGACGAACAACGCAAAGTGGTGCAGCAATTTATCGATGCACCCTAATTCCAGTCCTTCCCGCAGTCCAATCGTCCCTCTTCTGCTCCTGCGGGCGCCGTCCCGCGGCGGGGGTCGCGCCCCGTGCGGCGCCCATCAGCGGAGACCTCGACCCAGCCACCAGTGCGCCATCGCGCTGGTTGCGCGAGTGGCAGCTGTCTTGTGGCAAGCGCGGGGCCTCGCGCCGCAGGTGCGAGCAGATGTTTGGCGCCAGCGCATTACTCTCAGGCAGGGTGCAGTCTTCGACGAGGGGGTCGACTACAGATTTTGTTTACCCCACAATTGGTTTTCCCGCCGGATCTTGCGAAAGGTACGTACACACACACCCGTAGATTACAACATTCGATGCGTTTCTTGCAAATGCGGCGGGAAAACAAAGTTTGGAGTAAATCAATTATGTTGTCCTTTCCCTATTCGAAGTCTCGGACGGGGCTGGGACGAGGATAGATTCGCTCGAGAGAGTTCTGGAACACTCTCAGAGCGTCTCAGAGCGCTCCAGGACGCTCTGAGAAGAAGGCCGCGGCGCCCGATACATCCTCCAGCGCCGCCGGATCTCACAGATTCCCGATCTATCCTCGCCCGATGTTATCCTCGTCCCGGTTTCGCCTTAGCAGCCGTGGCAATCTCCGACCGCGTTTTTCTGTCAAAAGGGCACAGCGTTTCTTCCTCCACAGAACCACGCCCCTAGGGCCACGGTCGGGCCGCAGAAGCGTCCAAGCTCGATCCAGCACGATGTGCTGTTCAGCGGATCTTCTCGCACGTGCCCTTGTCTCGGGCGTTGCCAGACGAGACCCTGGCCCAAGGTGCCCCCCAGGACTTCCAAGGGGGCCTCCACGGCCTCCAACGCAACCCTCCCGAGGCCCAGGGGTTCTCAGGGGCCTCAAAGATCGAGCGCAAAGCTGGGGGCACCTTTGGCCAGGGGGCACCCTCAGCGACCCCCGATTGTCCTGCTCTGTCACCTCCCCGTCTCGTCCCCCTCCTCCTCCTCCTCCTCCTCCTCCTCCTCCTCCTCCTTCTCCTCCTCCTCCTCCTCCTCCTTCCTCTCCTCCCCCTCCTCCTCCTCCTCCTCCCTCCTCCTCCTCCTCCTCCTCCTCCTCCTCCTCCTCCTCCTCCTCCTCCTCCCCCTCCTCCTCCTCCCCCTCGAGGAGATTGCATGGCTGCGGTCTGCGGCGCGGCTTGGCGTGGCTGCTGATGGATCTGTGCATGAGGTCATCATGGTCGCGGCTGCTTGTTTTCCAATGTCGTTCCGCGGCACTGGCAACTGTCGCCCATGCGGAGCTCGCGGGTCGCTTTCTCTCTCTGTCCCTGCCTCTCCCCTCTTTCCCCCTGCTATTTCCCCTCAACCTCTCGCATGCCCGCGCTGGCCATAGAGGCCCCGCCTTTTGGCGGACACCGGCGCGCTCGCATTGGCGCTCGTGCTCTCGCATGATGTAATTTGTGGCGCAGCTCCGTGCAGCGACCGATGACCTTGCTTTTACAACTTGCTTTTGCCAGGCAGGAGGCATGGAAGGCGTTCGATTGTCAAGGTTGTTGTCCGTAGCGCGGATAGGTGCCGTGGACAATATCTTTGCGTATCGGACGGCACGTCGGCCGAAACGCAACAACACCATGTAATCGGACACGATGCTAATTCAGAGTTGATCAGATTTGGCTATATTAGGGGACTTCGTGTATTTCTTGGCTAGACTGCACCATGCTAATTTTGGTTAAGGTAAGTCCGTAGTTAGCTACATAGCCGAGATCAGTTGGACTTGCTTTAGATCTCAGTGCGTCTTGCTATCAGGAACGCCTCGTAGCGAACGTCGAGGCCAGATCAACCGACGAAATAGAACACACGTATGGATAGCTTTGTCCCGCCCCGAACTCGTGGACGCGCGGGTCCCTGACGCATAAAGTATAAGCATGCTGAATATGTGTTGCGAACATGATGCCTCGGTCTCGCATTGTCTCCACCAGTCTCGTTCGGCCCCGTCTTGTGTTCTCCCCTTTCTTGCCGCTCCATTCCCCCTGTGTGCTCCTCCCCACCCCTCTACCACTCCTTTCTGTTTGAAGCCTGCTTGGAGCACGCCGTGAGGCGGCGGTGCCCGCGGATACTGTTTTCGCTCTGCGAAGCCCCCAGCTGCCGCTGAAGCCCCGCGCTGGCACTGAACCTGTGGGCTACCCCCAAGTAAAAAAAACCTTTACACTCACCCCATCTCCACTCCACCACACCTGTGGCCCTCCACTACTTCCTATACCATGCAATTCCCTAATCTCTCGCCACAACACTCCACTTCACGGCAGTCGCCTCGGGACACGTCCATTCCCTAATACCTCTCACCATTTCAAACCACTCAGCTCCGGTTCATTCGACATTCCCCCTTGCCGTCAACGTCAATGTTGTCCATAGGTATTCGGCCATAGTTACTTGAACAGATCTTTCCAACACGACGTGAGGACTAACGTAAATCAACGTAATGTTTGTGGCGCAAATACATTGCGGCAACCATCTGCATCAAATCAACGCTGACAGTCCCCACCCCCCAACTCAAAGTTACCTCGGGTGGGTGCGCGGTGCCGCGCGAGGGACAACATGTAGATGCTTCGACGGGGGGGGCGCGAGATACGTGATCTGCGGTCGGTGTCGCTGGTATTTCTGTTTGGACATTCAGGATCATGCATCGCTTCTGCTGCAAACGCACTCGCACAATGGATGCAGTACGCGCCCTCTCTGCCCACCATATGGTTCAGCATTGGTGATCACTCCAGATTTCGTAATAAAGGGAGGGGGGTCTCATTTCGGGGGGGGTCTCTTCCAGGCTATCTTTTGGAGGGCCTGGGGGGGTCTGGGGACGCTGTTTTGGAGGGTTCTCCCACGGGGGGGGGTCTGAAATGGCTTGTCTTGGAGGTTCCAGACCCCCTCCCTTTTATTACGAAATTTGGAGTACTTCGGATGCCTCGGGTCCTCCCTGCCACCTCGGGCCTTGGAACGGCGCCCACATGGGACAGAGGGTGACTTCTGCCAGGAGGTCGCCCGCCGCTTCCGCGCTGCGGCCGCGGCCAAGCCGCGCGCCGGCCGAGGCCGCGCGCGCGCGTTGGGTCTGAGCGTTTCCTCCTCCTCCTCCTCCTCCTCCTCCTCCTCCTCCTCCTCCTCCTCCTCCTTCTCCTCCTACGAGTACGTCTCCTTCAGGCTCGGGCCTGACTGGAGGGCCCCAGTCCAGGCCAGGATCGACAGCGAGAAGCGGCGGTGCAGCCCCTGAGCAGCCTGGCGGCCGCGCGTCGCGGCGCCCTTGCGGGCTGTGGGGCCCATCCCTCGTCGCCGCCGCTTGGCCCGCCGCGTTGGCTTCCTCGTCGCCAGGGCTGGGCGCTCGCTCGCTTTGTTTTGGTTTCCCTGGGTTTCTGGCTTCCTCGTCGGCGTGCCGGTTTCCCCTCGTTTTCTGGGCATCGGCCCTCCCTGCGTCGTGGCGTAGGTCCGCGGCGAGGCCATTGGCGGCAGGGCCTGGAGACACAGGCCGTATCATCAGACGCCTCAGACGCCTCCTCCTCCTCCTCCTCCTCCTCCTCCTCCTCCTCCTCCTCCTCCCACCTCCTCCTCCTCCTCCTCCTCCTCCTCCTCCTCCTTGGGAGCACGGGTGCAGGAGTTTGTTGTTCGTGAGGGATCTTGGCGGTGGGAGCACGGGTGCAGTCGAGTCGCACATGAACGACGTGCAATTTCCCAAGGCTGCCCCTGCGCACCCTTGCCCCTTCGGTCCCTCCTTGGCGACTTTCGCTGGTCAACCCCGCCCGACATCGCCAGCATGGCCCTCCAAGACCCTTGCATCCTGACCGCGCATCCTTATCGTGTGACTTGACTGTGTTGCGAATTGCCCCATTGTCCTGATGAGAACTAAACTGCTCAGTTGCTGATGTCTGACACTCGCAGACGGATGTTCCTCGCGGGGGGGGTCTGTGGATCCGATGAGAGTACGCCGGGTACATTGTTTTGTAGCTTTATCGACTTGGGCATGTTATGCAACATTGCGCGGTTTGGGAAGTAGGATGGTACAAGCGTCGCATGCCTCAGACCGCACCATGTGAGCCGCAGCTCCCGTCCGTTTGACAAGTGAACCATTGGGGCCCCGCGTGCTGGCGTCATGCTTCTTATACGCGCATTAGGAACCGCCAATTTGCCCGCATTAATGTCGAGTGCATCCCCGCCGATGATGTACTCCCGCCCTTGGGGCAAACGCGGCTCCCCAAGCCCGAGCGGGCTTCCTCCTCCAACCATACAAGAGGC